CGGCGGGCGAAGCAAGACAGGCTAGCGTTCATCATTCGTGAAGTTGATGCCAAGGCTTAGGAATGCTGTGTCTTGTACTTTGTTGCAAAGCTTGATTCCCAATTCCCCTTCCAACATATGGTATGTTGTAGTGAGAAGTCCAATACGATTTTTATACTAACGTCTAGAGGATAATGCAAGGAATGTGCCACCTTTCGCGTGGGATTAGGATTAGTGCTCAGCGCCTTAGCATGAAAACACATACTGATGTTAAAGACACATTCTGAAGCAAATGCACTCCTTCACACAAGACCTCACCTGTGCGACCCACCTGTTGCCTTCCGAAACAATGCACCTGCTTCAAGCACAGCCGGGCCGAGGCGGACGACGCGAAGCGATTAAAATCTAGGAATAGACCTCAAATTATAAGGGGCTTCATATTATGAATTACGGCTATATTCCTTACTTCAGAGGTATTAAGGCTTCATATTATGTAGGCTATATATTCCTCAATACTTCAGGAATCTTAAGGCTCCCTGGGATCACTCTGAAAAAGCTCGCGCCTGCTGCTGCCCAGCAGAGGATCTTGGCTCTCAGTGGGAGATGCATCCATGGCTGACCCCCAGGGCTCCGGTCCCCTAAATAGGGTTTAGGGCCGTTTAGGGTGTAGGGTTTACGGTTTATAAGTTTAGGGCTTAGGGGCAAAATAGGATGCTGACCTTAACCCTAAAACATAAACCCTAAACGGGCCTAAATTCCAAACCCTAAACCCCTTAAGCCTAAACCTTACAGATCCTAAACTCCATTCTTTGGGTAGCTGGAGCCCCAGGGCTAATGGGTGAAAAGACTGCAGCTTGCAAGCTGCGAGTTGTTGCCCGATATCATCACAATCATCGGTGTTAGGGTTTAGGGTTTAGGGTGCTGCTGAGGGCGAGGATGGCGACGATGATGGTGCTAAGTAATACTTCATCATGATTCCATGCTCTCGGAGATCGCCAAACAAGCTCTTTCATGTCTGGCTCATCGCCGGCGCTGGGGAACGAGATGTCCACGAAGCTAGACGGTACAATAAACCAGAATCCCATAGCGAACCCGAACCATGCTTTCCGAACTGTCGTGGCCAATCAGAGCTGCCTGGACGCAGTCCTATCGTTCGATCTGGGGCTGCGGTTATTGGATTTGGAACTTCCCCAAAACCGGGATCCCGACATGTTCGCAACATTATTTGGGATCCTTATTGGAACCCCCCCGGAAACTTTTCGGAAACCACCCCTTTGAAGCCCAGGCTCGAAAGATCTAAATACTCCGACGTGTTCCTGTAACCTTGCCCCAAGCTTATGAGGGTTTCCCCAAATGCCACAGCCCCTAAACTTCTAGCCGCCAAAAGACCCTCGTGAACCCTAAACCCTAAACCCTAAAACCCTAAACCCTAAACCCTAAATCGTGTCTAAACTCATCCGAAGCCCCAAGTTCCCGAAGTACACTGGGTCCTCGTTCTTATCCTCGCGGCCTCTTCGCGTGAGGTCCTTAATCCTCGGCGTCAGGGGTGGCTACTTCCATGCCGTGATCTGTAAGGGTTCTTTTACTGTTTCCTGCTAGGGCTCCTTTATGGGCTTCTTCGCGTCTGTGAAAGTTTTGAGGGTATCATGATGAAACTTACACCCCAAACCCTGTGAACCCTGGATGCTAAGCCTCAACTCCAATAAGGCACATTGCAGGCAGAGGAGCATGTGATCAATACGATCCGTCAAGCTGCGGACCATCAGCGTGGACGTACCTGCGCTGAGGCTGGGAAGCGGAAACCATGCAAATATCCAGCTGCTTCAAGCACTTAAAACATAATGCTATAGGGGTCGTAATCATTGGAATAGGGTTGTGGGGCCCATAATGACAATAAGGAGCCCCCAAAACCCTGTTCCAACTATTAAGGCCCCTATATTGTAGGGTTTAGGGTGCAGCCTTTACGGATTCCTTTTAAGGGCTCCGGCCGAGAAGAGCGGGCAGGGCCCCTAAGAGCCTGCAGCACCTCATGGCCCCAGCGCAATCCCACTCCTCCCAACCTTAAAAAGGAACCCATAAAGGAGCCCATAAAGGAGCCAATAAAGTAACTCGTAAAGGACATGTCCTACACCCGAAAACCTCAGCCCCGATATCTAGCCCCGACAGGAACATGAAGACATTGCATCCGTGAAAGCTTCAGCTTCCCGAAACATGCAAAACCCTAAGCAAATCATAGGGTTTAGGGTTGCAAGGGTTTAGGATTTATAGGGTCCAGAATCCCGAATATAGGAGCCTAAATAATTAGCGATACTATTCTGGGGGTTCCTTCTTATAAGTATACGTTACGGGCCTCAAAATCCTATTCAAATTATTAAGGCCCCTAAACCTCTAAACCCTTATAGTAGCCCTTATAGAACACTTTAAGGAAACCTTTAACGGAACCCCCCAAAACCCCATATTCTAATCATTAAGGCCCCTATATTAACCCTCAACTCCGCCATGTCGCGGCTTAGGGCCTATTGGGGTTTAGGGTTTAGGGTTTGGGGTTTAATAGGGTTTAGGGTTTAGGGTTTGGGGTGTAGGGTTTAGGGTACGCCTTCAAGACCCCAGAAACCCCACACCTAAAACCTGAAGTCTTTGACATCTCTGACAATCAAAAGCCCGACAAAACGCTGTGAGACTCTATAAACAAAGCCCTACCCTAGGGCTCCAGTTGCCTAAATCTGGGTTACCATAGGTTACATAGTACAGGGTTAGTAACCCTCAATTTAGGAGCTCCTGGGCCATACTAACGATTTAGGGTTTTAGGGTTTAGGGCTTAGGGGTTTAGGGCTTTGGGGTTTAGGGTTTTGGGGCTTAGGGGTTTAGGGGTTTAGTAAACAGGGTTTGGGGTTGGGGTTTGGGCTCTTTGTTTAGGGTGTAGGAGCTTTGGAGTTCAAGCATATAGGGTTT